AAGGCCACTGGTGACAGAATGTCTATGAATATGTACATTGTGGATGGTTGTATTTCTCGGCTGCCGGTCCAGGTGTAGGACTTATACGAAGATGCACTTCAGCCTTTGCATAACTTACGTCTTAATGAACTGGTGGTCTTTCGGTTGTTTGGTTCATTTGCCTCCTCTGGAGAACTTTGCTGAATAAATGAAACTCCACAATGGGTGATGACCATATTTTGTGATGGACCACGTTCTTCCCACGTCACATAGCTGTCCAGAGATATTTTTTGATACTTTGTGTGGAGAACCTTTGCCCAATGGCAAAGCTACCAAATCCTGTTGAACGTCATTATCTCTTGTCATGTTACAATCTATGACTAGCTTTCGCCACCCTCTGCGGTCTCCAATGGAGTGCGGCATGGCTGCCTCCCATATCCCTATTCCTTTGCAACTTTGCCGTATATTTATACAAAGTACTTTGTTCGGTTTAGAAGGCGTTGCACGTCTCCCAAGGAATAGCCCATTTGCATTGGTAGCCCGTTCCATTCACGCAAAGGTAAAAATCCAACCATACCCAGAGCAACAACGATCAGGTGTATTGGTGTTATTTTACTTCGTAGCTTTTCTTGGTCTGACATGTTCACGAATTGTTTTTCTAAAATTAAAAAACGGCTCTCTTACTCATATTTATTGCTTGACAATTTAATAATAGATTTTGTAACTGCATATTTTCTTTCCCATTCGTTATATCGTTCATCTGTTGTTTTTCACTAACATTCGGTAAATTGCTTGCCATACGATTCAGAGGTATTTCTATATGTAGTGCTGTCTCTAAGGCCGTGCTGGTAGAATTCATGGTAGTAAGCGTTAGCATACTTGTGAACGGTTTTCTTCTTATAGACTCTTATACTCTGCTACACAACAATCTCATTCACATCCTGTCAATATCCGTGTTTCAATGGTTATTCTAGCGTTCTAGCCACTTATCTGTCGTAATTCCGGTACACACTATCTGTCACGTCTACATAAAAAGAACAACAGCATGGTCCGTGACTCGCAAACCTGTATTGCAGAATTGATCATCTATTTTGTTCACACAACAGCCGCTTTGTCTGTTGTAATTGATTTTCTGAGCGTGTGCTGTTTTCAGTTTTCACAACCGTCAGCCGCGCATTTTCGTACACTGGTTTTGGTTGCTGTCTTTTAGTTACCCATTTGGATAAAAGTGCAGAATGTAGGTCGGATTATGGGGGAGCAAAGTAAAAGTGACGAAGTGAAGAGAAAAATTCACATAGACGGGGGTTGCGCTGTCATGGTGCTGAAAATTCGCCAACCGGGGTATTTAAAAAGTTGTCCCTATTATTACCAATTTCAAAGCAGTGCAATGCGTATCGATCGCTGTGCGACCGCATTGAGGTTGAGAAGGGGGAAAAATGGGAAATCCTGATCCTCGTCTCCTCGCTTGTCACTCCACCGGTACCACGAACGCGCATTACAAACATATCCCAGTCTCGTGTGTCTCTACTTTGAATTTTCAAGGTTCTGTGATAATTCCCATCCGTCCGACGAAAGATTCGACCTATTTACGCGTGTTCAGTTCCAGATAATCAACCCTTTA